GGGAAGGACTTTACCTCAGGAGGGGAGCAGTCTCCGGCGGGGAGGGGACGGCGCTGGCGGGGGGCCGGGCTCCTCTCTCCCCCATGGGAGCCGGCTTCACAAGGGAGGAGGGTCACGAGGACCGCTTAAGTGGCGAAAGAGCAGGGAGGGGCGGTGTCGAGCCTGGCTCCTGAGGAGGAGGAGGACGACGACGACGACGACGGGGAGGAGAAGGAGGTGTCGCCGGCGGTGTGCGCAGCTCCCAGAGGTCCTGCCTTTCCTCCCGCTGCCGAGGCTCTGGGGCGGCTGGTGTTGCGGCGGCTGCTTCTGCTGCTGCTTCTCCTCCGCCTTGGCTCCTCCCGGCGTTGTTCTTTGCCCCTCATGTAAAACAATCGTTTTGCGGGTAGGAAGAGGGGGGGTCTCTCCTTTCACGTTGCGAGGCTGGCGGGGGGCAGTGGTTCTGTCAATCTGCCGGTGCGTCGCTCCGGCCCGGCCGCCTCAGCCTCAGCCGCCGCCGCCGTCGTCTCCACAGGACGGAGCCTCCGATCGAAATGACAACCAGCTGGAGAGAGGCAGCGCGGCACTTCCGGTTCAGCTAAGCCACGCCTCCTCCCCTCTCTCTCCTTGCTCGGACAAAAGCCACGCCCCCTTCTCCCCTCCCTCCGCCGCTAGACGAGAGGCCGCAGGGAAGACGTTGATCATCTACCGGGAGATTACAGGACCTCTTCCTCCCCTCACGCGCACACAGGCGATCGCGAGGATTCTGTGCAGCCCCGCCTCCCCTCCTTCTGGACTGGATGGGGACTGGTGCAAAAGGAGCCCACTCAGCGCTTCTCCCCTCCCTGCCCAGGGCTTGCGCTCTGCCCATCATTTCCGAGGCACCCGCCCACAACCGTGTCAGTGCTCCGATTGGACGGCAGGCTCCAGCAGTTCCCGCCTGCGCCTCGCGTAAGCACGCGGGCGGGAGCTGCTCGGAAGATTGATCGTCGAGGGGCAGGGCGGCAGCGGTTGGGGGGGGCGGCCGGGCGGGGGGAGGCGGCAGTGGCAGTTGTTGTGGAGGTGGTGCTCTTAGTTGACCGGCGAGTCGGGGTCTCGGCGTGTGTCCTGAAGAGAAAACCCGGAAGCCAGCGGCTTGGAATGCGTGGCGGGCTGATGCCAAGGAGAGAAGGTACGGGGGGGGGGGGGGGGCGTCTTTCTTGGGGAGTTCTTATTACCCTGGGCATGTTATTTGCCAGGGATGGATGGGATGCTAAACTACCCCCCCCTCGCTTCCTCTCCCCCCACCCTTTTCTGGTTACTTCAGATTATTGTTCTTCATTGGGGAATGAGCCAAAGGTCTGGTCAGTCCAATTCCTGGGGTTGGTTGGGTAGTTGGATCCCTTGGGGTGGGTGGGTAAAGAATGAGCTTTTTGCAGGTTTATCGCGTTCAGGGCTCAGCTTTCTGCCTCTGTAGAGAAGGATTTTGTGTAACTAGAAGATGGTTCATTATAACTGTCCGGGTGGGGCAAGAAACCAAGCATACTCTGGGTAGGGATGATGTAGTAGGAATCTGGGAGGGGAAGGCTCCTTGGTTGGATCTGGAGGTCATTTAAGGCCTGCTTTGAGCAGCCTGGCATTTTTCAGTGTATTTGTCATTCCTTTTCTATGGCGCTTGTTTCTTCCTAGGAGGTAGGAGTTTCAGGAGCTTGATGAAGGAAGCAGAGGTGCTGCCCTTGTGATCTGTGGGGATAACAGTTAGGGTCCCTCTCAAAGTGTGATGTTCATTCTGATTTGAGGATTACCATTGGGGACAGTAAAGATGGGGAAGAGACAGTAGAGAAAACTAAAATGCAAATACTCTGATTTTCTGAGCTCACTGCTTCTCATAGGACAATGAAAATATCTCTTAATTCTGCAGTGTTGTGGTTTGTACAGTATTTGAGCCTGAACATATAATTTTGCAGCCTGTTTCACAAGTTAAGAAGAAAGAAAAGAACGAGCAAGGAGAGACATCCTTCAAAGTGGTGGAGCAAAATATCCAGTGAGTTGAGTCCACCGTGGCCTTCTAAGCAGTTTGAGAACTTGGGTGGTGCTTGCGTACAGCACGATCTTTCCTTCTTTGGAAAATAGCTGTCGGGTGGGAGGAAAAAATGGTCATCTTACATATTTTGCTAAGAGGTAAGTCCCACTGTACAGTATTTGGTACCAGGAATTCTGTTTTGACACTGCATCTGGTAAGATAGTGCTTGGAAACATTCGGCCCTCCAGATGTTTTGAGCTGTAACTCAAATGCTGCCTACCACTTATGGACCAAAGCATATGGAGGTGCAAAGATTCCTTACTCCTCTTTTAAGGTATGCCTGAGATTGGTTTGCTGGAACTGCATGTGCTACAATCTTAAGGTTTTTGTCCTGTAGTCACACTGTCTCAAACATGAAATTTTGGGGGCAGAGAATGGAGATCATGGTATCTTCTATTATGTTATCTTTCTGTCTGATCTAATTTCTTATCAGGAAAAAAAAGTTGACAGAAAACAGAATAGCTGTACAGCATTTTTCATTGATAGTGCTAGGGTCTTTATTTTAGTAAGACTTTCATTTTAATTCTGTAAACTGTAGTATGTCCAGTATGAGCTTTACAGTAATAGCAAACAAGAGCTTATTGGGAGTGTCTGTTTGTTTGGTAACAAGTGGAACAGGTTTCCAAGCTCAAATAGACAATCAGTATACTATTTTAATAGTCATTATTTTAAGCAATAAATTGGTTTAACAAGCTACACATAGCTATCCTATTTGCATGTAGCAGTGGGAAAACACAGTAGATTTCCAATTTGAAAGGTACATCCCTGTACTCATGGACAGAGCGAAAACTGATTTAATGTCTGTATGGGTGCTGAGGGAAATTGTTTAATGCAGCTAGCAAACATGGGATTCGTTGAGAGCACCATTTAGAGATGCAGAGGAAGGGGAAAGGGCAAGTATGAATAGTGCTGTTGCAAGATTAAAACCGAAAGGATGTCTAGTGGCCAACATGCACAGAGATGAAAGGAAAATTTGATAGTACACAACATGCACAATTGGAACATTCAGCATATGAATCAAGGTAAACTAAAAACCATAAAGCAACAAATGGAACATTTCAACATCGCAATGTTTGGTATCAGTTAACTAAAGTGGACATTTTCAGTCAGAGAACGACAAAGTGTTTTATTCTGGAAATGACAGAAGAAATTGAGTGACTGTTATACTGAGGCAAGATGTAGCACATGTAGTTTGGGACTGTAATGCAAGGTCTGACAAAATCATATCCATCATGACTTCTATGAAAACTTATCAACATACCATCATTCATATATGTGCTTCAGATGCTGAAGAAGATGAAACAATGCTTTTACACAAGCATCCAGGAGGAAATGGATCACATGTCAAAATAAGATATGCTTATTAAAGGTGACTGGAATGCAGAAATAGGAAATGAAGAACCAAACGTTCAGAAACAAAGCGGGAGAGGGACTTGTAGAATTCTATGAAGCCAGCAAGCTGTTTATTGCAAATACATGCTTCAAGCATTCGAATAGATGGTTATACACATGGACATCACCAGATGGCCAGTACTGAAATAAAGTAGACTGTAATTGAAAGCAGGGAATGGAGAAGTTGTATTCTTTGTACCAAACAAGACCAGAAACAGATAGTGGTACTGATCAGGAGCTGTAAATATTAAAGTAAGGCTGAGGACAAGTACTGAAAAAATTCTAGTGTAAAAATATAATTTAAACAACATTTCTGATGAATTTTAAGTCCACATAAAGAACAGATTTGTATTACTAAACTCAAACTGTGAACCAAAAAACCTGTTTTTTGAAACCAGTGATATTATTAGGGAAGAAGAAAACCAAATATGAGATGGATTGACTCCATGAAAAATGCAAGAGCCTTGAGTTTACAAGGGGTGCGCAGGACTGTTGAGGATGGGACATTTTGGAGATCACTCATTGATAGGGTTGCCATAAGTTGGAGGCAACTTAATGGCATGTAAGAATAGCTAGGAAACATGGGATTGATTTGGAGCATCTTTCAGAGATGACTCATGATTGTGCAGAACAGGTAGAAATTCTATGTCTTGTTTCATTCCCTAAAGCAAATGACAGTATAAAGAAGAATCAGACAGAACAGTCCTCATGGATATTGGGCCCAAACTAATCTGATTCCACTCTCCCTTGATAAACAAAACAAAAACAAATGAAGTTGCCTGCATCATAGTAACTTACAATAGAACAAAAGTGACTGACATGCTCATTCACTGTCACATGTAGGAAATAAGTGGCCCTGTGAACACAGATGATGTTGCATTACTGCACCTGCTTCTACCTGCAGCTTGGAGAATACGTAGACATGATTGATACCTCTTGGCTCTGCATCAGTATTAGAATAGATTTTCATAATATGAAAATATCTAATGAAATGCTTTATGGCTGAAATCCTGTTGCACAGGTTATGTTGTTGAATATCATATATGTAAAGATTTGTAAACGGTTTATATAAGCTGTTCCTCAGTAAAGTTGTATTTCCATCACAGACTGAGAAACATGAGTAACTGAGAAAGTGACTTTTCCTGTTCTCAGCAAAGGGTATACAGTGGTGCCCCGCATAGTGACGTTAATCCGTTCCAGATTAATCGTCGCTATGAGGAAACATCGCTAAACGGAATGGAAAAAGCCATAGGAACACATTAAACTTCGTTTAATGCGTTCCTATGGGGCCTAAACTCACCGTGCACTGAACTTCCTCCATAGCGCCTCCATTTTCGTGCCCTCGGTAAGCGAGGGCAGGGCGTGAAAATGGTTGTGGCCATTTTGGGCACTCGGTGGCCATTTTGGAACTGCCGATCAGCTGTTCAAAAAACATCGCAATGCGGAGATCAGTAAGAGAAACGCTTACCGATCATTGCAATGCGATGTTTTACCCATTAAAACATCGCAATGTGATCGCATTAGCAATCTAAAAAGATAGATCGCTATGCGGATTCATTGTTAAATGGTGCGCTCGTTATGCAAGGCACCACTAATTGGTGTCATGAATTACTGTACACAGTATTGTAACTGTAATAGATCTGAAGGCTTGAATGGCAAATAAGGGTTAATGTGATGGCACAACTGAGAATTTTTTTTAAAGGAAGGTAAATGTTAGAACCAACTTATGAAGATCATAGCTTAAACTGCTGAAACATGGAGAGCTCATGTTCTCCAGGTGTAAGGTTTCTGTGTGGTGAGGTATATGTATGAAAATGGAAAATCAAGGTGTGCAAAGATGGAAAATCATAGAAATCAAGGCACATTCATCTCTGTCTGATGAATATACACATGTTTCAAATTATAAATGGTTGCCAAACTTGCTTCTTGTGAGAGTTCACTGCACAACCAACTTACATCTCAAGAGAGAAGTGTTGTGGAAAGTATCAGGTCTGTGAAGTGCTTCAAAAATAAATAGAAATTGAAAAAATAGATTGAATTTGCTCCAAAGGAAATAGCTTGAGAACTTCCCGAACCAGGCTAAGGCATTGACAGAGCAGGCAAAAAGCATGGTTTCTGCAATAAGGACAATTCAGAGATGCTTCCGAGATTTGACAGAGATGGAATGGGGATCGTTTTAGGTGCTAATCATTTAGAAATTGATGTGGAAGACCATGTATCAAAGTCTACAAATGTGTTTCGAGTAGAGTTTTCTAGTATCAAAAATGAGAATTCAGCTGTAAATTAAACAGAAATTAAAGTCTACAGTTACTGAAGTCAACTTGTGAAATTTACTGAATGGTACAAAGTGCCTAGCAACTTAGCAAGTATATTGGCTTTAGTTTATTTAAGAGACCTTCAGTCATTTCTAAACGTGGTATAACTTAGTCTTTTTTGAACATGCTGACCTATTGGTTATTTAGATCAGCATAAGTAGAATGGGGTAAACTGCACCTGTGAATTTCTGGTAGTTACTGAGTTGGTGCTTGTATTCCTCATTGCAATGCTAGTCATGTGACATGATACACAATGAGGAATACAGTGGACCCTCTACTTAAGGAATTAATCCGTATTGGAATGGTGGCTGCAAGTCGAAAAGTCTGTAAGTCGAATCTCCATTGACCTACAATGCACTGAAAACCAATTAATCCCATAACCAGTGGTTTTTATTCTATTTTTATTCCATTTTGGTTTTTTTCTGGTCTGTAAGTCAATTCTCTGGCTGCAAGTCGAATCTAAATTTTGCAGCCAGAGAAGTCTGGAACTCGAAAAGTCTGTAAGTCGAGGGTCCACTGTACATGCCAATACTATAAGTAAGGTCAATTTGTCACTGCAGTTTACATCATTACTCTTACACCAGCTTAAGTAACCATTAGGCTACTAGCTGCCAGGTGTTGCCTTCTCACTGGCTTAAAGATTTCTTGAAGTTTAGTTCATTTGATATGATGGAAGTTAACAGTGTCTGTTTTAAACAAAACTACCAAAAGAAAGTCCTGATGTCCATTAGTGTTTGTAGAAGTGCCCTCCACTGGCACTCACTTTCCCATGTACCTTTACAAGTTGTAGGGATCTGTGCAACTCCCACCCTGCAGCAGGTTGCTTTTCTTACTGTTCAAGGATGAAGTAGCATGGGAAGGACATGGAGGTAGAAAGGGCAACTCCAACTCCTTCTAGTTTCGGGGCTTTCACTTCTGTAATTCTACAAGGTTCAGGGAGGAATCTAGTTGAATTATAGGAGTAGTTACAAGTTCAAGTTATTTAGCCTTCAGATAAAGGTGACCAGGTTACTTTTGGACTGTGACTCATATGTTGCATACAGAATAGCACTGTTTGCAAACGCGGCCAGAAACGTCTGCACTAATTTCCTGAGAGCCATCATGAGTTATTGTGCAGGGGACTCCCAGATATGAAGGGTCTTACTATTTTATATGTCTGTGATTTTATCATGATTTTCCTTGATCGTATTTGTATAGGAGTAGCAGTCATGGTGGCGCTGCGGATTAAATGGCAGAAGCCTCTGTGCTGCAAGG